AATAAAAGTATCTTGAGCCACACATGTGAAGAAAAGGCTCTTTTCTAAGAATCTGAACTCAAATCCAATATGAAAAGCACAGGTCACTGTGGGCCTGTCAGGAGCCCGGGGAGTTGTCAGCCAGGGCTCTCTGTGGAACGATAAACTAAGCGATGCTGCTGCTTTTGACAAATGAATTCCCTGTCTCGTTATCCTGAGCTCACCTTCTTTTTCTTGCCCTTTTTGCTGAAAGGAATTCTTGTTAATGCATTTATTTAATTCAGAACTCCCAGACTTCTAAAGCAAAAAAGCCAATCAGCATGAGGCACCTAGCATATTGGGTCTGCCAAAGTAAGTGTTAAATAACAATAATTACCCCTCCGTGTTACCCAGCTGCATTGTCTGGCCCGCCAAATTCCCTCTGGGAGGCCCTGGCATTGGGGGAGGAGGCCCCTATCAGGCCAGTGGTGTAGGCACAGGGACCTGACCAGACCTCACAAAGGCCTCAGGGCCTGCTATAAATAAATCATGGCTCTGTGCAAGGTGGGTCCTTCCAATTGGCTGCTCCAGTCCAAGAGCAGTCATGGCTTCTGTGGGTAAACCAGGAAGCCCTTCAGGGTCCTTACTGTGGCTCTCGGATCACTGCCTGTGTGTGTGTGCTTGGGGCCTAGGCAAGCCCAGCTAAGGAGGCATCTTCTTCCTTGGGTGGGATTGGCAGATCCCTTCTTCATTACTCACACTTTGTCCCCAGTGCAACTCTCCAGGGTGAAAAAATTCTGGAATCTTCTCCATCCCCAAACAGATGGGAAGATATGACCTGCTGCAAAATCACTAGTTAGGAAGATGTTAAAAGAGAGGGTGTACAAACAAAGAGGACAAATGGTGTGTAAAGATGGGCACTTGCTTATGACACAGTCTTCTGATTGACAGGGAGTGATACACGTGGGCAACAGGGTGGTGGCAGGGGTTGGAAATTCACCTGCAAAATCATATAATGATTTGCAGTTTTCAGAGCAAGGGGTTGGGAAAAGGGACCTCCTAAGGCTTTTTCTGCAGTGCCTGTCTGGAAACCCCTGGCAGAGGTTTCTAGTTTTTCCTCACCATGAGGACCGGGGGCCACAGAGGAGGCCTCCTCTGGCAGAGCAGTTTATTTTTGAGGAGACACTTGCCGACTTCAAAACTTTGGAGCTAGCTGGAAAATACTTTTCTTTCCCATTTCTGTTTTGTTCTGATAGTTTGCGGAAACCCAGCTACCTTCCACCCTCACCGCGGCAGCTGGTGGGAGGAATTTTCAAAGGTGGGCGGGGGTGTGGCCCAGGGGCGTAACCTCGGCCCAAATTTGAATCCGATCTGCATAGCGTCTGGGAGCCTTGGGCGGCTGATCTGTCTTTCCTTGCGGTCTCCCTCCTTCCTTGAAGGCACTCTTAACTGAACACCTGGTATGTACTGTTGTTCTAGGCGCTGTAGGTAAGAAGTGGACGAAACAGTTCCTCCCCCTCCGGGGAGCTTAAGTTCTAGTCGGGGAGACACGCAAAAAACACCATAACGAAATGCGCTTAGGAGCTTCGGGAAGATCCAGACTGCGGTTGACACCAGGCCGCCGCAAGACCTGCTCGACTCGGGCAACCCCGGGTTCCGCCCAGCGCGAGTTGCTAGGAACTCGCCTCCGCCGCGGCGAGGGACTGTACCGGCTGGCCGAGTCTCGCGAGGATCTTCGAGGTTTCGCGCGGGACCGCCCATCGGTTGCCGGGAGACGCTGCGGCCTCCGTCGGGCGGGCGCCTCTGTCTGCAGGTCGCGACGGGAATCCACCACGAGAGCCATGGTGAGGAGGCGCGGGGTACCCGGCTAGGGTCCCTGAGGGGGCCAGGGGCTCCTCGGTTAGACAGTCCTGCGCGCAGAGAGACCCCCGGATGGGGAGGCCTGGGGTCCCGGGACCTGTGCGCACTGAGACCCCAAGAGTGGGCAGGCTTGGAGCTCTGGGTTCCTGGAATTGAGGCCTTGGTGCTCTCCTGGCATTCCCATGAGGAGAGCATGGGGCGCTACGCATGCCGCATCCCTCATCCCGCACGCACGTTGAGCTGAGAGATCTGGGATCTCCAGGCTCCTGTGCTCACCGCCCGCC